TCTACAGAGACGTTCGGTGAGCCAGGTCAAACTAACGTGATGCTTCTTATGGGCATGTGTTGGGCTTGGTGCAGGGGTGCTCTGAGTTTAAATTAGAGCTATGAGTTTTTTCACGTCTGTAAAGCAACAAGTGTGTCCCTGAGACAGGGTAATATTATATCCTGCATTTTACAGACAGGACTGAGGATGAGAGAAACTAAGACATTCCTGTGTCTGTAGTAGACTTAGTCCTAGAGTGGTGTTTTAACAATAGAGTATTCTGCCTTTCAAGAGTAACGGTACTGTAAGGATCCTTCAGTGGCTTGTACTGGCATTTCATTTTCATTGATATGGTAGGAATGAAGTTATTTTAGACCAAATTGAATCTGAGCTGTATGATCTTATTGATAAACAGTTTTAAAAATAGGCAAGCCAGATCCTCCTTATATTTAGCTATCTACAAACTACATTTTAAGCCAGTGTCTGCCTCGCGACACACATTTGCACCCCGTTTTCTTGTCAACAGGAACTGCCCGTGTATGTCATGAAGGTGAATTTGTTCCTCATTGATCAAGATTCAGTGAATAGTGAATCTGACAGTGATCCGCTTTGCTAAATGTGTGTTTGACTACCTTGATAGTGCTGATTTGAAATTAATTTTGGAAAACAACATTGTGCAACATCACTAGTAATTTGAAGATGGCAAAATATGGTTGATAATACTGCAAGGTAGATCAAGTTTCTGATACGTGTGCATGGGTTCCGAGGTCAAGGGTGGGTGGGGAGCGGATTGCAGCTGTTTCCCAGCCCCATCCTGTCACCACCCCGTGCTTCAGGACCTGGCCCCAGGGGCTGCTCCCTGTCCACTTGTGGCCCCATCCCATCCACCTGGTCATGCACCCTGCCCACTTGGTCCCAGGCAGACTCCATGGAGACCCTAGGATCATGGGACAGTAACTGTGGGTCCAGGGCAGAGCTGCTGTCTGCTCCCTCCATGCCCCTGCCCATGGAACCAGCATCCATTGCAGGGACATGTGTGCAATGGATTGTGCCTCTGCCCTGGGCCCTGGCCCCATGCTATCACCATCCCAAGATCCCAGGGTCTCCCCGGCCCCATCTGCCCATCTTGCTCCTGGATGCTGCTCCCCGCCTGCCCATGGCCACATCCTGGCTGCCAGGGGAGCAGAACCACTTAGAAGTGTTGGTGAGCTGTTGCGGGAGTGGGGTGGGGGACTGAACCAAAACTCCCTGTGTGGCCCATGGGCTCAAATAATTGCCCACCCCGGAGTTAACTGTTCAGTGCAGAAATACCCTGAGCTAGTTAACTGTAACTCAAGGGAAGATGCAATTTCCTCATTAGTTATAACTGACTGTTTTTTGGCATAGCCATCTGAAGGGTTTTTGATTTTGCAAGTCTTGTCTTTCAGGAACAATATTGTTTGTCTTTACAGTGTTTAGCTAAATTCCTGTCGGGCATAAACTGACACTGGGTTTAATTGTTTTTTGTTCACTGGACTATGTAGATGGTAAGAGCAGAAAGGGAGCAAAGTGGCAGAAAACAGAAGAGATTCATACCACTTCCAGCTTTTATGCACACCATACAGCTAGGGTAGCCTAGACAATTAATTTAGGTTCCTCATCTTTTTCTGCTCTTCTGCAGTATCTGAACAGCAGTTTGACAAAGTGCATCGCACCGTAATTAAAGCAGGCAGTGGAACATGGAGATTAAAAAGAAAGTGAGGTTTAGATGTGTTTAAAAAAAAAAAAAAAAACAAACTTTTTTTTTTTTTTTTTTTTTTTTTGCATTAAGCTATTTGATGTTCGTCTGTCCAGCATCATAGGGAAAGTACAAAAAGAACATTTTGGTGTGCGAGCACCAAATTTGGTTCGTGACCAGGAGCATGTAATCTATTCTACAGTCAATATGTATGCATAGAACATTGTTTTCCTTCTATGATTAAGGGTTTGAACTACCATTTTGGAGAGGGTTAAAACAAGCCATAGTCCTAAAACATGCCATACACAGTTAACTGAAATAAATGGAACTACTTCTTTCAAGAAGGGTTTGCAAGATTGGCATCCAAAATATTAACTGAGCTCATGGAGCGTTTCTTCATCTGTTGCACTGTCCACTTATTAGTGACTAGTATTTTGGACAGATAATTATTTGGGTTATGAATGTTGGTGTGGTTCTCTCTGTTAAACATTATAGGAAGTATAGACTGAATGTCAACTTGGATTAGCCAGCCTATATGGTACTGCAGTCTTCAGCATATGATTCTACCTCTTTCTTTTGTAACACAATACTGGCATTGCCCATTGACACATACGAACTGTTGTTGGATTAGCTAACAGTGCTGATGGCATCTCACAGAATTAAGTTCTCTCTTATTTTGGCAACTCTTATCTCATGGGAAAGGTCTGCTGATCGCCTAAATGGGAAACTACTGGAAACTGCAGGCTAGATTCTCATCAGATGTAAATATTTGTGACTTGATTTTAACTGAACAGAGCTACCCTGATTTATACCACCTGAGAATCTGGCCTTTCCTCCTAAATACATTTGTGCTGTGTATTCAGAATGTTTTTGTTTACCCCTTGGCGTGACATCCAATTAACTCATTTGATTTCTAGCTAAATATATCTGGCAAATATTTTGGATTTTTGTTTTCCTCAGATGAATATGAATGATTGTGATGATCCCCCACAGTTCTGGACAATCCATGGATTATGGTAAACACTTAAAACAGCTACCTTTTTTCTTTCAAACTGGATAAGAATGTCATGTTGGACTAAATTTCATGCTGATGTCAGTGGGTACAGTTTAATTGACTTCATGGTTAAGAACTGGTCGTGCTTGGATGGGTGAATCAGAAGTAACTCCATGCAAGAGTAGTGAAAGAAGAATCAGTCTCTTAGGCCCAAAGTCAGTTGATTTGTACCCATGTAAATGCAGTCTACATTCCTGTAAATAACCATCATGATAATGTTTCCATGCTAAAGGATTTTAAGTTTTAAAGAGACATGGAGCAACAAAACCCTGGTCTTACTGAAGTCAGTTGCAAAACTCTGACCTCAGTAGGGCAGAAGGCTACCCCGTGGTCCAGTGACTAGAGCATGAGACTGGAAGCTGGAGTGAATATAAATCCCAGGTCTGGCATTGGTTTCCTTAATAGCTCTGGGTGAGTCAAATGACCCTTCTGAAAACTGTCCAGTGGGGATGAGGAAGTTTTAGAAGGGTTAGTGATTTGATTCTAGCCAGCACTTTCAGAATGATCATTCTAATATGTTCCACAAAGACACTCAGCAATTATATTGATTCAGTCAACTGTAAAAGGCTCTCAAATAGAACTAAGAATCCAGCTAAAAATGTCATCAGCTTTGTATGCAGTACAGCTGCCCTGAAGTTTCATTTCTACTTCCACTGCAGATTTGCCCAATAACATATATATTGCAATACCAAGGTTTCTTGTGTCTCTCCCCAAAGTGCTGACTCTAATTGTAGCTTTATATAAATGCTTTCAGTAGGATTTTTAATAAGCTATGGTTTATAAAATAGTTCAGACTAATTTAAAGTGTTTTCTCTTTTCCATCTCGCCCATGGAAACGCCAAATTCTAAGTGCAGTTGTAATGTAAAAAGCGAGTGCAATAAAAAAAACAGTCATTGAACGGTGTTCTCTGACAAGACTGTCAGTCATGCAAACTCACCCTGAGCTTTGAAGGCTTTGGACTACAGAAAATTACCAAAGCCTTAAAAAAAGGTAACCCAAAATCTACATTTTTCCATAATCAAAATGAAATGCCACTATACATCTCTATCAATTAGTGACATTTCATTTTAATCACGGAAAAACGTGGATTTTGGGTTACTCTTTTTAACCTGAAAATTGGGGATTTTTTTTTTTTTTGTTATCAAAGAAAACCAGGATCCCTGCAGGTCACTGCAGGATAAGCTCTTTATATATCTCTCTCCAAACTTACTGAGGAAGTTAAGCTTCCTTGCTGTTTTGGGTGCACAGCATTTGTTAATGTCTCAAAACTGACTATGATCTTGACTCTAAACATGGTACAAAAATTCATAGAAACTCGGGGAAAACATCTCTGAAAGGAAACAACTGATTATACTGTGCGTGAACAGTAGAGGCATGAAATACTCCATAAAGATAAGAGATTGGAAGAAACAATACAAGAGGTTGGGAAATTATGTAAAAACTGTGAACAGCATTACAGGTAGAACTCAAAGATGTTTGCTTACCATTTCCCAATCTTACTCTCATGCCAAGTGACTTGGTTAGGGTGAAATGGATTTGACTAGTGATACACATCTGATGAAACAAGCCACTACTTATAAATGCTTTTGCATCTCTTATTTAGTTAGTTTATAAGGTACAAATCTACTCTGCCTTTAGCCCTGCCAAAGCCATCCCTAATGCTTTATTTCCTTCTCATGCCATATGTTCTTTTTTCAGGGCTTAAGGGTGCTTGTACACTTGACAATGTCTCGATGTACATGTGACAAAAAATTCCCTTTGTGTGGCTTAGTGGTATCATCACACGTTACATGTACCTAAGTTTTGTGGGTTTTAAATGAGTTTGCATCCTTGCAAGCTAAACTACATCCCAATGTAGTTGAGTTTGCACCAATGTAATTTGGCACATTGCAGGCATTAGTTGTCTCACCCCCAGCTGTGGGAGAAGTAGGCAGGCTCCACGGTGAAAAAAAGGACCAGGCCCCTCGCCACTTCTGCCTTCAGTAGGTTCCTGCAGTCAGCAGGATGCCTGGGGCCACCTGGGACCAGGCTAGCTTGACCCTGGGGCAGCGCAGGAAGGCAGCAGGCGGGTGACTGGGTTTGCTGGAGGACAGAGAAGGCCGTAGGGACAGTTCATGGGGTGCTGGAAGCCTGGGCAGACTGCTAGTTGGCCAGGTGCAGCCCAGCTTGGAGGTGTCTGATCCATTGATTCCCTGAGCCCGCCTGGGCTTTCACCACCCTGTGCACCTTCCCCACTGCCTTCTCCAGCCACCAGCACACCCAACTGCCTCCCTGTGCTGCTCTAGGCCAAATTAGGTGTGCTGGTAGCTGGAGAAAGTGAGGGGGATGGTGCAAAAGGCACTGGAAGCCTAGGCGGGCTAGGGGAAGCATTGGATCAGGCACCTCCAAGCTGGAGCAGGACCTGACCCACTAGAAGCCCACTTGGGCTTTCAGTGCCCTGTGCACCATCCCTGCTGCCTTCTCTGGGCACCAGCCAACCCAGCTGCCTTCCTGCCTCCTTTCCGCACCACCCCAGGGGCAAGCCGGCCCATTCCCGGGTAGCCCCAGATGTCCTACCAGCTGTAGGAGCCTGCTGAAGGTGGTGACGGTAGAAATGGCAAGTGGGCTAATCCTTCCAGCAGAGCCTGTCTCTCTCTCCCATGACCAGAGGGTGAGCTGAAAGATTAATGGCCTCCTAGCCATGGGAGAGCTTCGCCAAAAGAAAAAAAAAAAAGGATCGGGCCCCTCTCCACTTCTGCCTTCAGCAGGCTCCTGCAGCCAGCAGGATAATCACATATATACAGTAATGGAAACTGAAACAGTGAGGTTTCAATAAAAAAACTCATTGCTTCAATTTAGAGATCATAGAATGCAACCCTAAGGATGAAACCCCTGTCACATGTATAAGCACCTTTAGTCAGGTAAAAGGCTAACACAGGACCCCTGGGCTGATAAAATTTGACTCAAAATAAATTTGTAATGAATACTAGCTCATTTCTGTTCATTAAAATTTTGTGGAAAGTGACATTGGTTTATTGCATTTTTATAGTTAGATTTCCATGCTATCATCTTGTAACTATGAAATATCTTGTGACATGACTTTTTCCACCCACTGTTTTATAGTAGGGTTTTTTTTAATTTATTTTCATTAATTTCTTTCCTAGGCCAGATAAAGGAGAAGACTGTAACAGAACATGGCACTTCAATGTGAATGAGATTGAGGTATTTAAATTAAAATGTGAATATTGAGTGGAGTTGGATGCAATTACCTTTTGAGATGCTCATAAAATATCACTTTTGATATAGTCTGTCATCTGAGCTGGACATTATTTTTAGAATTCCTATTCTAACATCTGTTCAAATTCCTAGTCTAAGATCCATTATTTGAAGTCTGCTGTGCTGGTGAAGATCAACAACCCCTGCCCATCCACCACCACCCGGATCACACTGGTGTTCTCACTGGCTTGATTTGTATCCTGGCTTTTTCCAGCAAAAACTGGAAGAGCAGAGGCTTTGAGGTGCTTCCACCCTCTGAAGACGATGTGATGAGTACTTCAGTTGAGAGGCCTAGGGCTCAGAGAATAAGAGGATACTGGCCACCTGCAGTTGCATTTTTCCCAGTAGCTTCAATTAGCAGTATTCCTATTAAGTTTCATCCTTTCAAAGCCATTTTCTTTGCGGGAACCCTGAAGTGGAGAAAAAGCTGTTGGGTCTGTTGCCTGCCCTTTCGCAGTTGTGAGGTGTATCTACAAGTATGGGTGCAAAGGATGCAAATTAAGGATGGCTGAAGAGAGAGATCTGTGGTGTATGCCTAATCAGATTGATTTCCTTTTTTGATAAAGTGACAGGCTCTGTGGATGAGGGGAGAGCAGTGGATGTGATATAACTTGACTTTGTCAAACCTTGACACTATCTCACACTAGTCTCCTGCTAAGCTAATGAAATACAAACTAGATGAAAGTATTGTAAGGTAGATATATAATTGGTTGGATTATTGTGCTCAATGAGTATTCATCAATCGCTCAATATCTAGTTAGAAAGAGTATCAAGTCGGGTTTCCCAGGGGTCTGTTTTAGGTCTGGTATAGTTTAACATCATCAGTTTAGATGATCATGCCTTGAGCAGGGGGCTGGGCTAAATGACTTCATGAGGTCCCTTCCAGCCCTACTTCCGTACGATCTTTCAAGTCAAAGGACAGAAGAATCTCTTCGCTAGTCAAAGTCAAATGTCTTATGAGGAGAGGTGAGAATTTCAAGTCTCTAAGTAAAGAAGAGTGAACATAAGTGTCATACTGCATCAGGCCAAACTACTGGGGCAGAAGGCTAGGCACAGAATCTTTCAGCCTCTTAACAGCATGTTTTTGTGGTTGTCTGGCACATCTCTACCAAGAAGTAAAAAGGTAGATGGGCTGTGATTTGAGAAGTAATCTTTTTAAGGTGTATATTTTTATTATTATTTCTAGGATCTTCTACCAGACATGAAACAATACTGGCCTGATATACTTCATTCATCTCTAAATAGCACCCGTTTCTGGTAAGTTCAAACCAAATGGGAAAGCATCTTGGATATATCTTTAATAAGAACCATACTAAATAACTATTGTATGGAGAAGCCTCTGGTATAAGCCACTGGATATCAGCTGGAGCTCTACAAAATACCTTTTAAAAACCTTAGTCATCCATAGTATCGATGTTCACATTCATATGTGTTAATATTAATAATTGTATTAAAACATCATCTCAGGCCTCACTCCTCTAAAAGACTGACTTATGCCAGTATGGATACTCAGGGCATTTATAGATGTGCTCTGGAAGATGGGGTGGGGGGAATGCTTTAATTAGAGCGACTTTGAGAGCCTCTAATTAAAGTGCCCAGACCATCACGTGTATTAGTGTCCCTGCACTGAAAAATGGTGGTGGGGACACTTTAACTAAAGGTTGTCAAACCAGCTTTAGTTAAAGTGCTCCTATCACCATTTTTCAGCCCGGGGACGCTGATATATATGACGCTGGCATCTGCTGGAGCGCAGTAATTACCATGCTCCAGCAGACTTGATTAATTGAGTCTCCTCCAATGTGTTGTAATTTCAGTGTGTTGGAGCAGCCTCTCTGCACATGTATAGGTGCCCTCAGTCACTACAGTCATACTCTGGTAATCTGAACCCAACAAGTGTGTTGCATATCATGTTATGCGTGAACCTTTTGCATCTCTATTTAACATTCTTGCACAGTTTTAAACGTTTTTGGCACACGTCTTATGAGGGAAGGAAAGGAAAGGGTTGCCCTCATGTAAAGGCGTGTAGTTTGGGGGTGAGAAATGCAGAGTTCAGGTCTTATCAAACTAATATATATTTTTAAGACCTCAGTTTTGGTTGATAAAACCACTTGCGGACATCTAGACTTCCTTAAGGGTGTTTTATTTAGTTCTATCCAAAAGCCTGATTTTGGAAAGAAAAAAAGCAAGCAATCATTGCAGCGAAAAAAATCCATATGGGATCAATTTAAACATTGTTTAACTAATAGATCTCTGCAAGAAATTCTGTGCGAGGAATCATTATTTAATAGTCTTCTAGTTGAGTTTCAGAGGGATCTGTCCTTGGTGAGGTGTTATTTAATATCTTCATTAATGATCTGGTAAAGCTATAAGTGAAGTACAGTTTGCTGGAACAGTAAATAATGAGACCTGCTCAGTTTCACAAATGAATCTGGCTCTTGCAGTAAGCTGGTTTAATAGAAGCATTGTGGATGTTAAAGAAGCTAAATGTAAGGTTGTACATCTGGGAACCGAGGGTATAGGTCATAGTGAAATGGAGGACTGTTTTGGAAAGGAGGACTACAGTGTGAGACCTGGTATTGTTTACAGGATAGATGTAATATTATGAATGGTGTTCTGCAAGGTCTTTAGTACTTGAAGTAGATTAAAATGGTTACCATGGTTTCCTTATCTCCTCTCTTCTCACTCAGAGGTAAAGATGATAAAAAAGCCCTTTTCTATCTTGCTTCATTGTTAATGTAGTAACTCTTCAAGCAAGATGAGCTACATGTATAAAGCCTATGTGAATACTTTGGATTTCTTGAGGGTGGGAATTTACCTTGCATCACAGTTCCTCATACAAACGTGAAAAAGTGACAGAGTGTACCTGTGACTCCCTGTCTAAAACTTCAGTCCAAAAAGTCAGTTGACTTATTCAGTGTTCTGATAGCTTCTCCCTAGCTGGATCCAGTCTTCAGGAAGACTTAGCATTGCCCATCTAACCTGTGGGGTGAAAAGGTTGGGCACCCGTGGGTTAATACCATTTATGGGACTAGGCAGTTTCTGGGAGCAAAGGCGGGGGGGTAGACTGTGTGTGTCCTTTTGGTCCTTTCCTTTTTCTTTCAAAATGAGCCTGACGCCTACAGAGTCACAGAACTGGCACATTCTGTACTCTGACCCCTGGACTCTTAGGAACAGGAGCATTTCAGATGGTGTGTGTAGAGAAGCCTGAAGTGAGAAAATCAAGATATGCTGGTGATTCCGATTCAGCATTTCTGAGTCGTAGGATGTCCGATAGCAGGTGTGCCAAAATTGAAAAATCCTGGGAATATAGCTATATATATGAGTGGAAACTATTTTTTGCAATACCATAACAAGAATTGCTAAGGGCACACAATTGCTCCTAATTGTAGGTTCTGTAAATGCAAGCTTTTAGCAAAGACCTTCCACATTTTTTATTCTAGTTTATTCAATACATGTTTCCTACAGAAGTTTTTCTTCAGGTTATAAACCCAGAACTGCAGTATGAAAAATGTAAAGCTGACTAAATTGATCTTTGTTGTTGCAAGCTAAAAGAAATGAAATAATTTATATGAAGAGTAAGCATAGTAACAAAGAATTAGATTTTAAAACTCCTGATATGACAAATGCTATAGAACACTCAAAGACTGAATCAGTATTTATGCATATACATTTTTATGCGTTTACTCATGATTGTGTTCCTGGCTTAGTGGGTAAGATCAGAAATGGTTCCTGCAGGATGGAAAGATACTGGAGGGGGAGAGTGTAATTAATACAGCAAAGGAGACTTGCAATGATGCATGTAGCAATTATTATTTTTGTTTAAGTTTCACACTCCGTCTCCATTCCTGGGGATAGAGCATAGACTGGTTTGACTTGACTCATATGGACTAACAAGATAAAAGGACTTGAAACTGTATAAAATGACAACCTTAACACTGCGGGGAAGGGGGAGATAAGGGAGCAGGGAGAGAGAGAGAGAGAGAGAGAGAGATGGAGGCACTTGATCCAAGAATGGCCAAGTATGAAACTGACTCGGAGAGGACCTGGTCTTCATATGGAAGATACTTGGCCACCTGGCAAGCAGGGCATGCATATGAAATTTGTATTATTATTAAGGTTTTTTTTTTTATCTAAAATACTTTTTGTTCTGAACAAATAGGACTTGTTTTATGAGCGGAGGACCTCAGAGAATATAAACTGGTTGCTCTGGGCCTTTGTACACGCCACAAAATTGGCTTTTAAAGTGGATTAAATGCCCTTTTGCACCACTTTAATGGCATTGCTGTTTACACTGTCAGGGGCATATTGCACATTAAATGACTTAAACACCTCCGAGGTGTATTAGTTTGCTACCTAACAAAGTACAAGAGCCACTGAGGGAAGCACTGGGCCCTGTGCAGCTCAGGAGCTGTGCAGGCAGCCCAGCGACAGCTGGCGCAGGCAAGCTCCACTGGGGAAAAAAAACAAACCAAAAACCGGTGAGCCTGATTTTTTTCTCTCTCTGAAGCCTGCCTGCCTGCCTGAGCTGTGTGGGGACCTGGTGCTTCCCTCTGCGGGGGTGAGGGGTGTGTGCTCCCCTTTATGGCTGCAGTGCCCCCTGGGACCATTCAGGCTGGGTGCCTCCTGGGGGGCGCTGCTGCCACTGGGTAGGGAAGCACTGCCCCCGCTGCAGCTCAGGGGCTGCTCGGCCCGCTGGCACCTCCCCACGCCACCGCCACTGCCGGGGAGGCAGGGGAGGGGGATCGAGCCTGATCCTTGTGTACATGCCATGACAGTTTACTTCGGTTTGATTCTCCCTAAATTCAAGCAGGGTTTTGAAAAACTACCGCTTCGGTTTAGGGAGAATTAAACTGAAGTAAACCCCCATAATGTGCGCAAGCAGCCTCTGATTTTAGTACTTGGGAAGTTACTGCAGCGAATGATAAAACAATCAAATTGTAAATGCCTGGAGGAGAAAGGGCATTTACAGTTTGCCCTTACAATAATCATCATCAGCATATAATTTCCAAAGCACTTTATCTTTTTGACAGTGTAACCAGTTCAGTGGATCAAGGGAGTGCAGTGGACATAATAATATACTCGGACTTCAGTAAGGCTTTTGATATAGTCCCACATGACATTCTTCTAAGTTAACTGAAGAAATTGTGGCTAGATAGAATTGTTGCTAGGTTGATACATAGTTGGCTGAACGACAGCAAGCAAAGAGGTATAAATGGATCAGTGTTGGAATAATAAGAGGTCTCAAGTGGAACTCCACTGTCTGGTGCTGTTTGACTTCTTTATTAATGACTTGGATGCAGGGGTAGACAGCCTCCTGATCAAGTTTGCAGGTGGCACAAAACTAGTTGGGGTTATAATTCCTTTAGAAGCCAAGGTTAGAACTCAAAAGGGTCTTGAGAACTGGGCTATAGCTGCCAAAATGAAACTGAACAAAGATGTGTGAGTTGAGACAACTGGAAGAAAAAACAAACGCACAAATTCAGAATGGGAGGTAACTAGTAAGGCAGCAGCATTGGTGATTTGGGGTTTTGGTGGATCACTAGCTACTTGAGCGAGCAATGTAAAGTGGTGTCAAAATAAAGAAAAGAAAAAGAAAGCCAATGCAATTTGGGGCTATCATTATCAGTATGTAAAATGCATGAGACAATAGTATCACTACTCAGTTCTGGTTAGATCTTAACTGGAATATTGTATCCAGCTCACTGTGTTTTGGGAAGGATGTAGAGAAACTGGAGAGAATTCAGAAATGAGAAACAAAGATGATAAAGGGGTTGGAATACAAGCCATGAAAGGAAAGGTTAAGAGAACTAGAAAAAAAGAGATGATGGGGAAATCTAATAGTAGTTTTCAAGTGTTGGAAAGGCTTTCTTAAAGGAGTAGAAAAACAACTTTTCCCCTTTGCTGCAGGTGGCAGAGCATGAAGCATGGATTTAAACTGTGGCAAAGAAGACTTGGATTTAATTTGCGAAGTGGGGGTGCTTAATCTAAAAGCAGCAGAACAGTTGGATAGGCTACTCAGGGAAGCTGTAGACTCTTCAATTGCAGTTTCTGAGAAGAGGCTGGATAAGCATGTAACAAGGATGGTTAAGAGAGAGAGAGAGCAGCTTTTGTTCATGCAGGGGCTTGGACTAGATGACTCTTGGTCTCCCTTTCATCTCTATGATTTTAAGTCTGTTTTCATCTTGGAGAATAACTGTAGGCATTGGAATTGGATATACTGTACTAAAGTGAATGCTCTAAACTGGAGAAGGCTTCAA